CTTTACCTCCAGGGTGCTCAGTGTGCCCATCTGTAAAATGGGGGTGACAGCGGATCTCATCGGATTGTCGTGAGGATTAAATGGCCCGAGACCAGGGCCTGGCACAGGTGATCTTAGTAAATACTGGTAATCAGGCCGCCCTCACAGGTGTGCAACCTCTAAACCTGCACAGAGCCCGGCTCTCAGGAGAGCCTCGTGCTTGGCTTATTGCTCTGCTGTTTTCATCTTGAAAGTCTTAGTAATTTGTTAAACTTGTGTTTTGTAAGTGACCTCTGATGGCACAATGGAGCGTACTCATGAGCAGAGGGGACACTTCAGGTGGCAGTGAGCTCAGCAGCGGTAGGCAGCACGCCATGGGGTGACACACACAGACGCCTGGGACAGTGGGGCACTGTGGGGCCCTGGGCGAGGAGTGACCAGGGCTGGGACCCAGGCCCAGGTTGCTGGTGGTGATGGTGGCAGCACCGGGTACCCTGGGAGAGAGAGAGGAGGTGCTCCACGTGGTGCAGGACCTGGACCATGGTGGGAGACCACCTGGCCCTCAGTCCCTGAAACCTGTCCCTGTGGCACCTGCATAAATGTCAGTTCCCAGGCCTGAGCCCCAGGGGCTCAGGCAGTCAACTTGTCAGTACGTTTTTACAGAACAGAAGTGGATATTGCAATAAAATACACGTGGACCTCGCAACAAAGCCTAACACGAGTTACTAGAATTCTTCACCATGTTTAGAATCTCTGATTCTGGAAACTGTTGCAACATTGCAAATATCCAAAAGCTAAGAAATAGAAATTAAATGTAACGATTATCACATTTGATAGAAAAGAACACTACTCCCATATCAAACTTTGATGAACCAATTATTAAAGAGGAAGACAGTTAAAAACTAAGTTTTCCTTGCAATTCAAGAGAGTGATAGAATTGCATAAGCAGGCGATTGAACTACATACAAATCATGAAGCCACTTTTGGTTTCTTATTTAACCACCACAAGTTACAGGAAATGTCAGACATTACATATGTAAATACGCTGTATAAATTTACATTTAAAACTAAATTCAGACTAACATGATTTGTATTTGTATTTGAAGAGTTAAATCTTTTTAGAAAAGCTAGTCTGAAAGAATCTTCAGCTCTAGATGTATGAAAATTTGTATTTCAGACTAATTTATCAGAAATTTATCCCAATGTTATCACAGCCTACCAAATACTCTTAATAATTCCAGTATCAGTTGCATGAACAGAAAGATCTTTCTCAAAATGAAAAATGATCGAAAGTGATTTACAAGCTTAACATTTGCCAGGAGCAACTGATGTCACTTCCCATTATGTTGATTGAAAATGAGTTGCTGAAAGTATAAATTTTGATGACTTAATAAATGAACTTGCAGAAGAGCAAGCCAGGAAAATCTTATACTCAAATTATCCCACTAATAAAGTATTATTATTTGTTTTATTATATAAATTATGATTACAATTTTTATAATTTGTAAGCCTATATTGTTACTCATGGGCCTCTATTGTCCCTACTAGAGTGTATAAGTAACAAAATATGTTCAAGGAAAAAGCTTTCTTACTAATATCTCTGTACTCTTCCCCTGCTTTTGGAACAAGGGGATCTACATTTCTATTTTCCACCAGGCCCCACAAATTCGGTGGCCAAGTGACGGTGACGCAGGTGAAGAGCTCCGTATGAGCTGCAGTGTGCATCGTGTCTTCTGCACATTAGTTTGAATGTGGGGCGTGCCGGCTTTTCAGAGTGGTCGGTGCAAATCCCTCCCTTACCAGTTGAGTGTCTGGTAACACCAAGCTTACCTGAGATCATGTTACAAATGCAGAACCCCGAGCTCACCCCATACCCACTCAGGCCAACTGTGCATTCCCATATATCCCAAGATGATCCGTAGGCATGGGAGAGTCTAGGAAGCACGACCCTAGATAAACTGCTTCAGGAGAACTTGTCTGGGTTCTTTGTCCCTTTGAATCCTCAGTGTTGCTATTAAAAGTGAGTCCACTAGAGGTCACCAGACCCAAGTGATTATTTGATTTGCCAAAGAGGAGTTTGGGAAAAATGAATGTTGAAAACAGGGCTGGGAGTTATCATCTCCCCAATACTGGTACTTTCTGCAGCTCTCCTCAAAGGCCTATTTAATCAGAAATCTGCATTTGCAAAGATGTGCTGTCTGAGGTCAGAGCACTGTGCAAACCCTTAGGGGCCAGCCTAGTAGAATGCGGGAGTCAGGCTGGGGTGCTGAGTGGCCGCATGGCTTCTGCCTCTGGGTGACCTTGGGCAAGTCTCCTCTCCTCTCTGGGCCAAATGTCTCCACCCATAACACGCAGGCCTTTGGAGCAGAGACCCAGGGTGCCTAGCAAGCCCAAAGCTTAAGCTTGGATGGGGCAGGTTTCTTCCTGTTGCAGCTTTTCTGTCCTGTGCCCCCACATGAGCTGAGGAGACAGAACCAAGCGCCGAGCTCCTGTCTCCACAGGTAGAATGTCCTCCTCCTCCTGGCTGTCAAGGCCGTGAGAAATCAGGGCCTGGGTCCTGGAATTCAGGTGTCTGACCAGCCTGGAATTTTGAGGTGCCTGGCATTCCAGAGGCAATGGTACGTTTGTCTCTGGGCCAAGTGGAGTGGATTCTGAGCATGAGTAGAGAGGGGCGAGGTGATGCGGGGCAGAGCGGCACCAAGCCAACCGTTTCACAGATGGGGAAACAGAGGTCCAGGGAGGGATGTGACCGTATCCCAGGTCCCTACTGCCCAGAGTCAGTGGCAGAGCTGGAACTGGAACTCAAGCCTCTGAGAGCCGAGGGCAGCAGCCCAAATGCTGAAGGCTTCCTCCTGAGGGAGCCGGTGGATCCTGGTCGCCTGAGTATCTGGGGGGGCCCATGCTCCCTGGCTCATGTTCTTAGGGGACCTGCGGCCTGGAGCAGTGTGGGGCCTTGGCTGACAGAGCAGGACAAGTCCTGCAGAGGCTGCTGCAATCCTACTATTCTCGGGGGTTTGAGCAGGCTAACAGCAGCAGGGGTCTCTGCCCGGGGCTGGGCTCACCCACTTCCCCTCTTACCTCCGGAGACATTAGCTGGAGACCTTGGTGGGCCACGGTGGGGGGCTGTATCATCCCAGAACTCAGCTCAAAGGCCCCTAGCGGCTCCCTATTAGCTGGGTGGCATAGCAGATAATAGCACACCCTTCAGCCTGGCGTCAGTGTCCTTCAGAACCGGTACTCGACTGCCTTAGTAATGCACCCCCGGTCATCCTGCCACGTGGGCCCTGCCTACCTGCCTTCTTTCAACTCTTTACAGAGCCTCTACCAGGTGCCAGGCATTGCTCTGGGCACTGGGAGGCAGTGGTGAGCAAGCAAACAAGACCCTGCCCTTCCGGAGTCCTGTTCAGTGGGAGTCAGGCAAACAGGAAATCAACCATAAACCTATAGCACTGAGCAGAGAGGACGCAAAGTCCCAGGGCAGGAGGGCTTCCATAAGGTGGGTAGGGAAGGCCTCAGCGGGAGGGCAACACATGCATTCAGACCCGGCAATATGCAAGCTGGGGAACATCATCCAGGCAGAGAGAACAGCAGGTACAAAGGCCCTGAGGCAAGAAGGCCAGCAAGACCAGTGAGAGGCCAATGAGCAAAAGGAAAGGGGCAGGACATGGGGTCAAAGGGTAACATGGCCAGGCACAGAGGGCCTTGGTGGCTGCTCGAAGGCCTTCAGCTTCTAAACTCAGAAAGGCAGTCCCTGGATGGTCTTATCCAAGGGTGAGAAGACCCGATGTCACCCTGGCCACCCTGGTGCGCTTAGACAAGGGACAAGGGTGGAAATAGGAAGACCACTGAGGCAAGCATGCTTACCCACCTCCAGTATTTGGGAATGCCGCTCCCCCGAGCCCCCTCCATGAAGTTGGTGGTCAAAGGACAACGGGATGTCTGTTGGACTAAGTTCCAATGCTGTGTCCCCAACAGGCCACCCAGGCGGCCATCCCTGTACCTCTTTTTGCCACTGAATTCACACAGCATTTCTTTTGCGCCCCTATGGAGATTCTCACTTGGAAATTCTCTTCTCCAGTTCTGGATGCTGGGTCCTCGGGAGGGGAACCTGGCTGTTTGTCACAGGAGTTGAGCATGTGACCTTATGCACAGGCCCGGGACTCTCACCGGGGCTGCACATCAGAGCCTCTGGCCGTCTGCAACCAGCCCAGCAGAATCAAAACCTGTGTGTTGGGGGTGCGGGCTGGAGGATGGGGCTTGAGGATCTGTTTTTTAAAGTTCTCTGAGATTTTAGAGAGCCTAAGGGTGAGAGCCGCTGAGGTGTTCATTAGGCACTACCTGGGATTTTGGTTCACTTCTGTCCCCCAGAACACTCCCAGCAGGGCACAGCCAAGTATCCTGAACTCAAACCAAACAGCAGCCATAGGCTTCAGCTGCTGGATGAGGTCACTTCAGCTCCTGAGACTTGGGTTCCTGTTCCATGGCCCCTGGCATCCAGCAGGCCCTTGGGGGCATTGGCCACCCTTCCCACCCCTCCCAATCAAGCTGAGACAGACACATGCCTTCTGCAGCTGACAGGCAAAACATGATGTGCTGGTGGTGGTGATAATAAAAGATGGTGATGGTGGTGGTGGTGGTGGTGGTGGTGGTGATTGTTGTGACGGTAGTGGTGGTGATGGTAGTGGTGGTGGTCACGGTCATGGTAGTGGTGGTGATGGTGGCGGTGACAGTGGTGATGGTGGTGGTGGTGGTGGTGGCGATGACAGTCGTGGTGGCGGTGGTGGTGGTGATGTAGTTTGTGGTGACAGCAATGGGCTCCTGTGAGCTGGAAGAGTGATTTCCTTGATGCGGGGATCCGTTGTTCCCAGAGCCCCCAGGGGCCAGGGAGCACCCACACTAGGAGCCTCACCCATTTGCTTATCTGCATAAGTACTTTTTTCTATGTGTGCTGTGACATGACCATGTTTCAAAAACCCTGTTTAATTTGATGTTGTCCATTTAATTTTTTTTTTCCACCAAAGGCAAAGTCTTCCCACTTGCCCTTTTAATTCAGCTGGAGAGACTCTAATCCCTGGGCCCTCAGCGAAGGAGGAAACCGGGGCCCCGATTCCAGCGGTGGCCTGTCTAGATGGCACAGGTTCCTGCTCTGGCCCCGGGCCTTTGAGGACTGTGAGGAGGAGGAGCCTGGCGGGGAGGCTGAGGGCCTGAGCTTGAGCTCTGGCTCTGCATGACGCGCACTGTGACCTCGGGCTGCACACTTGACTTCCTGGAGCTCCGTGCTGTAGCTGCTAAAAATGGCTGCAAATTCTTCATCAGTCATCACACTGAGTCTAGGCTGTGATGACTTTGAACAATAGCTTGTGAACATATTTTGGAAATAAATGCTAACTTCCGAGGTTGGGCCTCAGATGCGTAAGAGATGTGCCTCCTGTGCTCTGTGCCCCGGGGGACCCTCCCTCCCACAGCTAGCTGCCGCGTAAGATGGTGCCACGCTGGGAGGACGCCCAAGCATCCATGTGGAGAGACAGAGGAGGCCGCGTGGGTGAGACCCAAAGCCTATTTCCTATGAATAAAGCCTTCTGGGACGGTCCAGCCCTGCTCATCCCCAGCAGAAGGCCTCTGAACGTATGACCCCAGCTGATGCCCCACAGAGCAAAAGAAACACCCTGCCGACTCTTGCTTGAATTCCAGAATCAGGTGGGTGTCGTTTATTACACAGAAATAGATAACTGATTCTCATGAAATATGCCTTCGCCCTCCCTGGGGTACCACTGTAGGACAAGTGAGTGGGGAGGGGCTGCCACGCATCTCCCCGTTACAGGCTGAGTTCGTTCTTTTCAGTCCTCGTCCCACTGCAATGAATTGAAAGGCAGACACGCAATAGTGAAGCAGCGGGAAAGCTGTATTTGAACACACGCCAGGGAGGAGAGGGCCAGAGTCACAGCAGACAAAGGCCTCCATCTGTTTGGCAGGCGGCTGCTATCCTGCATTCTGTTCAGGAGGCTCCTCTTGGACTGACAGGGGTTATTCGGCTTACAGGTCTTTCTATACAGCCGTCCCTCCCAGTGCGCATGGCCTTCCCCACGCTGAGGTGCGAAGGCTTTGTTGTCTCCACATGGGACCCCCTACCTGGGCAGAGTGTGGGCAGCTTCTTCCTTGAGCCTTAGCTTCCCCTTCTCAGGCTGCTCATGTGTGTCTTTCTGCCTGACATTCCTAACGTCCCTACCGGACACTTTCCAAGCGCTCGCACCTTCTAGCCCTCTGCAGCCTTGGGAGCAGCTGCTGCCCACCACCTTTGCTCCCACCAGCCCACACTTCTGCCTGGGCCCACCCAGCTCGGCCCCTGCCCCACACCTTTGCATCCCTCCTGCCTTCTTCCAGGAAGGCCCCTTCTCTGTCTTCCTAAAGCAAAACTCTGCTCCTTCCCTCCGACCTAGCTCAAACGGTCCACTTTCTCCGGCTGCCCACAGGCACCTCTGCTCTCCGCAAGCCTCCATTGGATGCCTGAACCTATTTGGTGTGGCCTCTCCTGGGCCCCAGTGTCCTGCACTTGGAATCTACACACTGATATCAGGCCTGACCCTCCTCCCCTTTGCTCAGGGATGGAGGGTGGATGTACTCTGAGGATGGCAGCTCAGGGTCCTCATGTCAGCGCAGGACAAAGGCAGGCCAATTGACAATAGCCACCAATACCATATTTAATCCAGGGAAAATGTTCCATTCAACAAATTCATGCAGCATTCACGTCCCACGCAGTAACAGTCCCCAAGGGGCACCCCAATAACCACCTGTACTCAGGCTCCTGTTCCTTTCTGGTACCAGAAGTTCTTTGGTCACAAAGAACTTGTCACAAAACAGGTTGCAACCAGAGTCTGACACCTTCTATTGTATCAAAAATATGAGGCAAACAATTATCTGTGATCTCAGTAAGCTTTCTGGGTAATTTATATTTCTAATGATTGTGAAAAACAACCCCTTTGACTAACCTGTCCAAACTGCTCCCACAAATATCACAAGTGCTTTTCCCCCACTTTCTCTGTCAGTCTCACATCAACACATGTCTACTGTATTCCGAGGGCTGCTGCTGCGAAGCCAAGCGGGTGTCTGGAAAGGTTTGGGGTGGTTTTTGAATTGGGTACTTCTCAGCTCCTGACACTCCAAGTGCGGTGTGCCTGAGTTCTCTCCCATTGCTCCTGCTGAAGTGAAACAAGGGGTTCCCTCTACCACCAGCTCTGGGTTTGGGGGAGATGATGGCAGGGTCTGCGGACAGACAGCCTTCCACTTTGTCAGGGAGGGAGGGGAGCAGCACCCCTCCCCAGCCCCCGCCCTCCCCCCATGCCACCGAGGCACAGGAGGAAGTGAGGAGCCCACGCCCTGGGGTGCTTCTTTAGGAGGCCTTTAGTGACCGTGGGGTACGCGGAGGTCACTGGCAGAGAAGCCCAAGAGTCGCCTAGTGGCCCCTCAAGCTCACCCTCTGATGTGCGATCAGCGCTTCCCAGGTGCCTCAGCAGGTGATGGGTGTTCACATCCACACAACGGGGCGTCATTCAGCACAAACACAGATGAATCTGCAAGGTGTGTAAAGGCCGGAGGAAGAGTAAGGGCCCGTTACTGAGTGAAAGAAGCCAGTGTACAAAAGCCCCACCCTACAATTCCAACTATGTTCTGGAAAAGACCAAACTGTGGAGGCAGTGAAGGATCACTGGCTGCCAGGGCTCGGCGGAGACGAACAGCCGGGGCACAGGGATTCGGGGCAGGGAAACCCTCTGCATTCCTGACGTTATGCACTTGTCCAAACCCGCACACAGTGCAGCACCAGGAGTGACTTTCATGTAAACTAAGGACTCTGGGTGGCGAGGACGTGTGGCTATAGGTCCTTGGCTGTAAGCAATGCACCACTGCTGAGCAGGATGTACACACTGGGGGCGGGGGGGCATGGGGACCATCTGTACTCTCCACTCAGTTCTGCTGAGAAGATAAAACTGCTGTCAAAAATAAAGTCTTTAAAAAAAGAGGAAGAAGGATTTTAAAAACAGCCGAGTCAGCATCTCCTCCAGAGAGCCTTCTCTGGCCACTACAGCCACTGGTGATTTTCTCCCCTGGCCAGTAATCTGCAGACCAGCCCGGCTTCTCCCTGGATAGCCTGTGCCTGCTAACAGGTGGCTGGTGTTTTCGGCTTCTGAACCAAAGCAGCCCATAAGCCCCTCCAGGACAGGGACAGGGTGTCCATTTCCTGCCACAGTGTCCAGGGAGGCCCGTGGCGGAGCCCACAGTAGGTGGTCAATGAACACCTGTTCATGCACCCTGGCAATGACCAACATTTATAACATGGACTCGGCCTCCAATGAGAGACAGATGCCAGGCACTCGGACATGCTCAGCGGTGTTTCTACTGCCAGGCTATGACACAAAGCCCTTCAGTGGCTCCTGTGTCAACTTGGCTAGGCTAGCTGATGTCCAGAAAGCTGTCAAAGCACACCTCTCTACATCTGCAAAAGAGATTGGCATTTGAGTTAGAGCCCACGAAAGCAGACTGCCCTCCCCAAAGTGGGTGGGTGCTCAGGGCCTGAACAGAACAAAAGGGCAGAGGCAGGGTGACTTGCTCTAGGCTTGAACTGGGACCATCTCTCCTGCTCCCGGACATCAGCAGGTCACAGACCCAATCTCTCATAATCACTCCCTTGCCGTATATCTACATATGTCCTATTGTTATCTGGCAGTCCAATCCTTGCAGATCTCCCTGAGGGCTTGGTGAGACCTCAGCCTGGGAGAGGGTTCTTGACTCCAATGGACAAAGAATTCAAGAACAGTCTGAGGAGTGCAGTTAAGGAAGGCATTCATTACAGCCAGAGTAGTAGTGAATGGCAGCAGACAGCAAGGAAGAGCAGAGGAGGAAAGGGCAGCTCAGTGAACTCCTGCTCAGCACAGGGCAGATCCCCTGCCCACGCCCGAAGCCAGGGTCATCCGGCACCCAGCATCCACTTGAATTTGCAGAGCTTAGAACTAAGCCCCTCCCACCCCAGGATCTGGGGGAGCCGCAGAGCACCGGACAAAGTGAGATGATGTTCTGAGAGCTTCCCAAAGGCAAAGACAGGAGATTTTCGGGTAGGCTGCTAAAGAGCACAATCACACAGCGACAGTCCTGTCCAGGTCACCCTGGCTGACCGGAGCTCGCAGGCCCAAATCAGAGTTCTTAGTAGCCCCTTCCTACTTGTCTGAAGAAGTACTAAGGGAGTGAAGACCTGAGCTTAAGTGTGAAAAACTGAATGCAATAGTAAAGTGACAAAGACGCCTACCACTGGAAGAGCACAGAGATGAAGTGCAGTAAATCGAGCAGCAAGAAGACTTTATTTAAGGCAAAGTATGCACTTGAAGAAAGGGGAGTGCAGACAACCTCAGAGGATAGGAGCACTTGAGGGTTTAGGGTTTGGGGTTTTATAGGGCCTTTTGGGTAGGGTCAGCATAAGGCATGATGTATAACAGGTGATTCATAATTCCTTTGAGGTTTTGTCTTAAGAACAGGGTTATACAATAAAATACTGAAGAATAAACCTAATGAAGGAAGTGAAAGACCGATACACTGAAAACTACAAGACACTCATGAAAGAAATTAAAGAAGATACCAACAAATGGAAATACATCCCATGCTCCTGGCTAGGAAGAATTAATATTGTCAAAATGGCCATCCTGCCTAAAGCAATCTACAGATTCAATGCAATCCCTATCAAAATACCAGCAGCATTCTTCAACAAATTAGAGAAAATAATTATAAAATTCATATGGAACCACAAAAGACCCCGAATAGTCTAAGCAATCCTAAGAAGGAAGAATAAAGCTGGGGAGATTATGCTCCACAACTTTAAGCTCTACTACAAAGCCACAGTAATCAAGAGAATGTGGTACTGGCACAAGAACAGACCCACAGACCAATGGAACAGACCAGAGAGCCCTGATATAAACCCAAGCATATATGGTCAATTAATATATGATAAAGGAGTCATGGAAATACAATGGGGAAATGACAGCCTCTTCAACAACTGGTGTTGGCAAAACTGGACAGCTACATGCATGAGAATGAAACTGGATCACTGTCTAACCCCGTACACAAAAGTAAACTCGAAATGGATCAAAGACCTGAATGTAAGTCATGAAACCATAAAACTCTTAGAAGACAACATAGGCAAAACTATCCTGAATATAAACATGAGCAATTTTTCCTGAATGCATCTCCTCGAGCAAGGGGAAAAAAAAGCAAAAATGAACATATGGGACTACATCAAACTTGAAAGCTTCTGTACAGCAAAGGACACCATCGGCAGAACAAAAAGGCATCCTACAGTATGGGAGGATATATTTGT